GGGAGGGCGCGCGCGTGCAGCGGACAACACTGCTACTCCTACGCGGACTGGCGCTGGCAGATGGAACGCACACGGGCAGTGCAACAAGACTCCTGGGCGCGGTCGGATGGTGCGCGCGTGACATTCGCGCACTGGGGACGAAAAGCGAGCAGTCGGTCGTCGTTGGGGTCGTGCGCGATCAGCTACTGGGATGCTGGGCGCGATTCGCGACGGCGTGGGATTGCACGAACGGACGTCGGCCTTCGTGCGGTGGTCCTGGGTGTCGCTGCTGGGAGCTGGACGGGCCTGGCTGGACGCGGTCGCGGGCGGTTGCTCACGGTTGCGATCGGCCGGGCGTGGACGACTTCCGGAGGCGGCGGCGATGATTTTCAGCGGCGGTCGACGACAGGGAACAGCGACGATCGACTGGGGAAATTGACCGGAAATATATATGTATAAAGGTTCGAATAAATTGTACCCAAAAGCCTTGTAACGGATTATCTAAACACCTATTTCGATTAAACTTGGTGGAGAGTTTAATCGAATATCCCTAACTCTCAAACGATGTAATTCTCTCGTGTATGTAGTAGAGAAAATCGGCCAAGACAACATTGTAGGAGAGGTTGGGACATGGTGTATTTATAGGCTCCATTAGGGACCTTAAGGAGGTGCTAAATATGGGCTTATTCCATTAGGCCTAGGAATCCTAATTCTACTCCAATACTAATTTAATGTAGGAAGAAAATCTCCTACTAATCCTCTCCTTCTAGAAGACTCCTAAGTCTCCTAACAATAGAGAAGATCCTTGTAGGAATATCTTTTCTAATTAAATTAATAACCATGGAATAAAATTAATTCTTAATTTAGGAAGCCTAATTTTACTCCAATTAATAATATAATGTAGAATTCTCTCGTCTGGGAGCGATCTAATTCTCTCGTCTGGGAGCGATTCACATTTTCGATCTTGATGTGTTACCGTTCCTATTCTGCTGTTTTCTTCTGATCTACCTTTCCTCTTCTCTGATAGCTGTGGGAGATTCTTTTTCAAAATTTTTTTGGGCAAAATCTAGGGTTTCTATGGGATCTTCAAACTGTGTTGGTCAAGACGATGAGTTAGCCCAGAAATTGCAAAATTTCTCTCTTCTATCTAAAGAGAACTCCTTTATTGATCTGGGTCGAAGCGACATCAAAATTAGTGCGGATGAATGCAATCGCAGCCTGTTCGGAAAGATTATCGGCGATAGAGTTACTAGCTGGATTGGGGTCAAAAGAGCTATGAGCCATATATGGAAACTCAGTCAGCCAATGGAAATCAAGGAGTTGGGTACTAATTACTATCAGTTCATTTTTGAGAGCAAAGATGACAAAGACAAAGTAGCAAAGGGTGTTAACTGGATGTACGATAATCAGTACCTTATCCTCTCGGAATGGAAACGGGGCCTTTCGATCAATCATTCCATCTTCAAAGAGCTTAACCTCTGGGTTCAGGTGTTCAATATTTCCCTAGATTGGCTTAGCACAGAAGTTGGATTGAAAATAGGGAAAGTTTTCAAACAGGTGAAGAATGTGGTTATTGTTGGAGCAGGCAGCCATGGTGGCAGAATAATGAGATTGCTAGTTACAGTGGATCTTCAAGAACCTTCACCATGTTGTGCAAATCTCAGACTGGATGATCAAGCAGTGAGTGTGGGGTTTAAATATGAAAGGCTAATGAACCTTTGCCATTACTGCGGCTTCATAGGGCACTTGGATAGGGCCTGCTCAATCAGACTCGATGACATTAAATCTCACTCCCTCCATGAAGGCCAATATGGAGCTTGGATGCGAGCTACTGATTTTAACAGATGGGCAGGCCAACACTCTTCTGGCTCTCAAAGTCCTCCTCACACTGACAGTCCTTCATCTCCGATGCACTCTGAATCTCAAAACCCATTAGCCAAAACCTATGGGCCTGATAACAACAAAATTCTCTCTATTGAAGGTTCACCTTCCCAACTCATTAGACAAGACTCTGAAGCTTCAACCTCTCAACCGGCCAAGGCCCTGTCTCAAATAAACCCTCAACAATATCCGGGGGTCTCTAATTCTTCAAATATGGCACCAGAGGATGCTCATCCTGAAAAACAAGACCTCAGTGCAAGTAAGGAAATGGAAATGGAAGACATCTTGATAAATGCCGCAATGGAAAAATCCATCCAAATCTCGGTTGCTGGTAAAGCTAATTATCAGCCAAAATTATGGAATAGATCAGAATCCAGAATGGGGAGGTTATAAAGACAGGCTATTTTTTCTTCTAATCCGGATGTCTCATCCTCTGTAAAAAGACAAAGAGAATCTGAAGAAAATCTAAAGAAAGGCAATCTTTCTCATGACTCTGCTCAGGAGGACAACAAAAAGCAAAAGACTGAATCTGGTAAGGTGGGGGTGGCCAGCCTAGAATGGCACCCAAGTGAACAATGCTAGCTGCGGTGTGGAACTGTAGAGGGCTGGGTGGGCCCTCTACAGTTTCCCAAATCAGAGAGACCATTAAGGCTCATCACCCATCTTTTTTCTTTATTTCAGAAACTAAAAAAAAATTCTGCTTTTGTTAATACTGTTTGTAAGAGGCTAGGTTGTGAAGATAGAATGGCTATTGTTAATCCCCAAGGTCTTAGTGGTGGCTTACTACTTTTCTGGAATTCAAATGTCATGATTCATCAGCTTATCTGTCAGGACTTCTTTATTGCTGCAGAATTTCAGCTACCTCAATCTGAAAAACAATGGGGTATCTTTGAATATATGAGTGCCTGCAGGAACAATAGAATTATTCAATAGGAAATCTTGGAATCTCTTAAGCCTACTTGGGGGCCTAAATGGTTTGCAGCAGGCGATTGGAATGACATTTGTTCAAACTCAGAGAAGGTTGGTGGAATTATTAGAGGAATCTCAAGTTTTCAAGGTTTCAACTCTTTTATCAATAACATGGAGATGGAGGAAATTCAAATAATCGGTTACCAGTATACTTGGTGCAACAATAGGAACTCAGAAGAAGTGGTTGAAGAAAAACTGGACAGAGTTTTTGGCTCTATGGATTGGATGCTTTCTTCTCCAAATGCCAAAGTTTTGAATATTGTCAAAAGCTCTTCTGATCACTCCTTATTATTAATCAACTCAGGAGATCCTAGCTGTAAACCCCCTAAAAGGTTCTCTTTTGAGAAGAGATGGATTGGCATGGCAGGGTTCTCAGAAACAGTTCACAAAGCTTGGCAGACCTCAGTGGAAGGTACTCCTTTCTTCAAACTCAAAGAAAAAGTCAAGTTCACTAGAGTGGCATTACTGCAATGGAGTTCCTCCTTTCACTCCAAGAATCAGCTTATTATCAAATCCCTTACTCAAAAACTGGAAGATCTCAGAGAAAATAAGACAAATTCAAATTGGGAGGATTGGGAGAACACCAGGAGAGATCTCAATAGAGCTCATTTCTTTGAGGAGAGCTACTGGCAATAAAAATCCAAGATCAAATGGCTGAAGGAAGGTGATGGGAACACCAAATTTTTCCATGCCTATGCTCAGCAAAGGAGGAGAATGAATGCTATATCTAGATTGGTTTCTGCCAGAGGTCAGGAATTTTGTACTCAGAAGGAGATGGAAGATCATATCACTGAGTTCTACTCCAACCTCTTTTCATCTGAAGGAACACTAGGGGGTGATGCAATCATTCATCTCATCCCTAAAACCATCATAGAGGATATGAATCAAGCTCTTATGCTTCCTGTTGAGGATGCTGAAATCAAAGACACCCTATTCAGTTTGGAGCCAGAGAAGTCCCCGGGGGAAGATGGTATGCATGCTCTTTTTTATCAACATTTCTGGGATTTAATTCAAACTGATTTCACTTCTGCAATCAAGAGTTTCTTTCACTCCAAACAGTTGCTGCAGTACTGGAATCACACTGTTTTATCATTAATTCCTAAATGCTCTCTTCCTGAATCTCTGAGCCAATTTCGACCCATTGGGCTATGTACTGTAGTTTACAAGGTGCTCTCAAAAATTCTTGCCCAGAGGCTGAAAAACTGTCTTCACTTTTGCATCAGCATTTATCAATCAGCATTCCTCAAAGAAAGACAGTTGCTAGACAACGTGATCATTGCACAGGAAGCCTTCCATTATCTCAACAGACTTTCCTCAGGCAAACACTGTTTCATGGCAATTAAATTGGATCTTATTAAGGCCTTTGAAAGGGTGGAGTGGCTTAGCCTGCAACAGATTATGATTCAAATGGGATTTCACAAGGACTTTGTGTCTCTTATTATGGTCTGTGTTTCTTCTTCTACTCTCTCAGTGAAGGTTAATGGTAGAGTTTCTGGATTTATTAAGCCAACCAGAGGGATTAGACAGGGGGATCCCATTTCCCCTATCTATTCATTATCATGGTTGAACTTCTTTCTGCTCTAATTCTTGATGCTGTGAATTCTGGCCTATTGCATGGCTTAAAACTCTCAAAAAATGGTCCTTTGCTCTCTCACTTGATTTTTGCAGACGACTCTCTTCTTTTCCGCAAGGCTGATGCTCACCAAGCTGGAGTGTTGATGAATATTCTGCATAAATACAAACTCTATACTGGCCAGGCTGTTAATCTTCTCAAATCAGCTGTTTTCTTCAGCAGGAACTCTCCTGCTCATATTAAGTCCAGAGTTTGTTCAGTGATGAATGGTATCTCTTGCCACAGATCCACCAAATACTTAGGCTTACCCCTGGGTATAGGGAAATCTAAGAAAGAAGTCTTTTCCTACCTGGTGGAAGCTATCAAATTGAAACTTCAAGCCTGGAAATCTAAATTACTTTCTTCTGCTGGTAAGGAAGTTCTTCTTAAGTCAGTGATTCAAGCACTACCTATTTTTCCTATGTCCTGGTTCAGACTACCCCGGTTAATTGCAATGGGATCTCTAGTCTTTGTGCAAGATTTTGGTGGAACACCAATGAGGACAACACTAAATGCATTTTCTGGAAAAGCTGGAAAAAAATGACCCTCCCTAAGCAGAATGGAGGCATTGGTTTTATTGATATTCAATTATTCAATGTTGCCTTGATTTGTAAACAACTTTGGAGAATTTCTTCTAACCCTGAGCTTCTTGTCAGCCAAATTCTGAAAGACAGATACTTTCCTAATTCATTCATCCTTCAAGCTGTCAAAACTCACAAAAGCTCTTGGTTGTGGAGCTGCTGGCTTGGAGTATTGCATATATTCTCTAAATGGCTCAAAACTGAAATCAGAGGAGGTGCTGAAACTCGGATTGAAGAGGATAATTGGATTCCTAACTACACAAGATCCAAAGCCAGTTATGTTGAAACTTGCAAGAGGCCACCTCATATTTGTTAAAGATCTTATTATGCCAGATGGAAAAGAGTTGAAACAATAGCTGGTTAACCAAGTCTCAGCAGCTGATAGCAAGGCTATTCTAAAGAATATCCTCCCTGAAGCCAGACACAAAAGACAGATTATATTGGGGACTTGATAAGAAAGGTAGATTCTCAGTCTCCAGCATTTATTCTCACTTAGTGCAGCAGAAAGTTCTTTCTCTTGATATGCCTGAATACAACACCTCTTTGATTCCTATGGCCAAAACTCTATCTAGAAGCTGGTCTCTCAAAATTCCAGGCAAGATCAAAATTTTTATCTAGAAATGCCTCAGTGGAGCTCTGCCTACTCTGATTAATCTCAATAAGAAAGGGCTTGATATTGACTCCATCTGTAAAAGCTGTGGTGAAGGGCAGGAATCAGTCGAGCACTTGTTTTTAGAATGTAGCAGAGCTAAAAGACTTTGGGAGATTGCTCATGTTTCTTGGAATGGCTTTCTGCTCCAATCAGGCTCCTTCAAACACTGGTGCCAACAAATCTCCTCCTTATCTCAGTCTGACACATCCAACTTCAGAATCCAACTCACTACTTATCTTCTTTGGTGGATGTGGAAGACTCGTAATCTTTGGATCTTTCAAAAGACACTTATCCCTGTCCATATTGTGGTGAAGTCAGCTCACTCGGATTGGCTCAACTTCTGCAAGGCTCATGATTCTTGATCTTTTGTTTTCTTGTAGTTTAGCTGTTTTATTTTGATCTTTGGTATGTAGCTAGGCCTGTTGGCAGTGGTGTAGTCCTATTGATTGCTTTTAGTTTGCTGTATTTGTGAGTCTCTAGGCCATTTCTTAATGTGCCTCTAAGTTTTCAGTTTGTTGTTGTTGCTTTAGGTCTCTTGTATTGAACATTATTTCTGGTTTTATAGCATTCTATCGTTTCGGCCAAAAAAAAAATAATATAATGTAGGAAATATATTTCCTACTAATCTTCATCTTCTAGAAGACTCCCAAGTCTCCTAATCCCAAGAGAAGATTCTAGTAGAAATTTTATTCTTCTAATTAATTAATTAATATGGAATAAAATTAATTCCTATTTAATGGAATTAAATAATAAAACATCCCACTAGAGTAATATTATTGCTTTCCCCATTTAGCCACTATTTTGCCAATAAAATAGAGCCTCCATGATTAAATAATATTAATCTGATTGATCGATTTACCTCCCTATGTTTAAGATACATCGTCCGTTGATTAATTAAATTACTGACAAAATAATTAATCAACTTCTTATTCATTTCTGAAATTAGTACCACTCAGACTTTAACCATAATGTCAGACAATCGTCTACCTGCAGGGTTTAACATAATGTTCCTTCCTGAGCTCATTTCGGGGACGTCATCAATCCAGTGCACTGGAACATAGTGACTGTAAATAATTTATAATAGCACATCATATAATTATTCTTACTTACCAAAATACCTAGTATGTCATCCTATTAAAATAGGAATCACTTGGGAAATCAAATAAATAAGAAATAAAAAT